TTCCACCCAACCGTATGGGACCGACGCATGCCCTGCCGCTTCTCCGCCCACTAACCCAACGTGCAATCTGCATCCTCCTGCATCCCTCTCAACTTCCCACCACCACTGTGTGTTGCTGTTGGAGTCAACCATGTGTGTTCCTGCCTCAAAACATTGATGCACAAAACCACCCCATCTCCCCTAAGATTGACCACTCAAATCCACTCAAATCAATGGATGAACACAATTCTAAGAAACAGGCGAGTGAAGAGAGAAGGGGATATCTTGAATTTTGAAGCTATGTTCTTTCAAACAAACAGATAACTATTAATCATCGTTATCGTCATCAAGACCATAACGACGACAGCAGGCTATGAGAGAAAGAGACAAATTAAAATAATAAAAACAAACAAACAAAACAAAACAAAAACAAAAACAAAAACACAATAAAACAATCAGTCAATCAATCGATAACAAGCATACACTGGTACATCGAAATAAGCAGCGCAACATTTGTGATAAAGAACGAAAACGTGTATTTCAAAAAACACAATAATAACAACATCAACAATAAACAAAACAACAAAATCGAGTTTTCATAAATAAGAAACGGAAACTGCAATGCTGAAAAATAAATTTAAATAAATAAACAAGCAAACATACGCCACAAACCACAGAACAGAATTCGACCAATACTCAAGACCACAGTTTTTTCAGACAATTATACAACAATAACCCAACAAGAACAACAAAACAAAACAAAAACAAATAAAATCAAACACAGAAAGAAAAAATAAAAATAAAAATAAAAAACATGAAAAACATGTAACCAAGTTTGGTTATATTCATTTTTCTCGACATTTTGTGTTTATTATTCATTCCTCTTGTTTTTCTTCGTCTTCTGCTGCTGCTTTTTCTTCTTCTCCGTCTGTGTTTTCTTTTGAGGTGGCGTCCAACTCCAACTCCAACTCCACCTCCACCTCCACCTCCAGATCAAGCATCAAGCAGCACCAGCACCAGCGGAGCGTGACACGACTGGTTGCCACCTCCACTCAGCCCCGCTGCCGACGTTGGGGGTCCCCTCACGCGCACACTCTTTCCAGTTTCGCTCTTTGCATTGTAGGGGGGGGGCCCTCCGGGAAACGGAGGGAAATGGGCTGCGCCGGCCGAGGAGGTAGTGCAAGACCAAGGCGACGCGCGCTGGCCCGGGCAGCAAGCTGCCGGATGGGCCCGCACCCGAGATAAATTAGATTAATATCGTGAGGCTCGATGAGCCTCGTATCAGATATTAAACTGATAAGAACAGATACTACACTTGATCTTAGCCAAAAGGCCGAGAAAGGTATGCCCCTCCCCTCCCGCCCCGCCCCTCTTCTACCCCCACCTCCGCCCTCCCGCCTGCACACACTATGGGGCATTTACCCATTCACACTGCCACTTCGACATATCATCACACTCGCCACACCACCAAATCAAAGCCCCCGCCCTCCGAATCACCATCGTCCCCAGGCTCTCTTGCATTTTGCAACCACACAACACCAAATCAACCATGCTGAATACCGTGATTTTCTTCGTTTCAAGACTGTAAAGGGTACGGGGGCTCTACCGGTGCTACTACTCATGGTCAAACAAAATATCCCAAAACATGGGAAAACGTGGCATTTTGTTACCTAGGGTGTATTCATGTGAGTGAGTGTCATAACAGTGTGTATACATACATACGTACATACAATTAATAGGGAAAACAGCCCTATACCCTAAACGAAACAAAAAAAAAAAAAAAAAAAAAAAAAAAAAACAATCATGGGAGATATTGCTTATTTTGTTGATTTGCCTATTGGTATATGTTTTTTTTTAATTTTCAGACATGGATTATAATAATGATAAATAAAATAATATATATATATAATAAATTAAAAAAAATTAAAAAAAAATGTAAGTGCAAGGGTAGGTTGTGGAGTGCAGATGTGAAGGCCGCAGTGCAAGAACTGTGGAATAGCATGAGAATTGACATGATGTAACGTTGAAATAGGTAGGGGGGTTGAAAATGTTTGAGTCTAGGGGCATGGATGTGTTGGATGGGATGGCATTTGGAATTGAGAGCCTTTTTGCTTTGTTCCAAAAGTGGATTTGTAAGAGTGAACAAGTGCAAGGTTTGAAAAAAGCATTCTTTATTTAACGATTGATTGATTTGCGTGTTTGTTTGGTGGGTTGTTCCTTTATTCTTCTGCTTGTTCTGCTTCTGCTTCCAGCGAGTGTTGTACGATGGTGCGGGTATGGCGTTTGTGGGAGGCGGGGAGCAATGGAGTGATTTTGAGGTGAGATGTTGGTTGTAGCAGGGAGGGAGAGGGAGTGAGAAATGGAGGTGAAGGCGTGGTGAGGGGGGCGGAGGGAGCAGGAGAGCGAGGGTGGGTGAGAATGTCCCACACGGGTTGGAGCGGCGAGGTATGGGTGGGTGGTAGAAGGGTGCGGAGGAGCGCTGGAGTGGGCACTTACCTGGGCGGGGTCGATCCATGATCAGGAAGGTGGATGGCCTAGAGGAGCCCGGCCCATTGCACTGACGGGGCGGGCGGCTCTAGTATCTCTCTACGGAGGGCATACACGTCGTAATTTGTGGCAGTGGGGGCTCGCGTTCGCGCGGCCCCCGCCTAAAGTGGAAGCCGAAACCGGAGGAAACTGGGTACGGGTGCGTTCATGATTTGGAAGTAGTGTGTCGGTCGTGAGTTCCCAGAAACCCCCCGCATTATCTGAGGTCTGCTGCATACATCGGCATTACCTGCCGGCTGCTGCATACATTCGCACCACGCGCACCTGCGCCTGGACAAAAGTCTTGCGCCGCCCTCCCGATCGATGGTCCAGTGAACACTCGGGGCAGCTGCTGTGGCAGTGAGCGTTGCTCCCGCACGGGGGGGAAGAACGGCGATCACACACCCGAGTCGGATCGGGCCACTACCTCCTCCCTGCGCGAGGGAGGAGGGGGGCGATGGGCGTTGGATTTTTGCGAGGTGCACGTTTGACCCCGGTCTCTGACTGTGCCGATGAGAACGCAATCTCTGACTGAGGCACGGCCCAGCGCACAGCCTGGTGGTGCGGCGAAAGGGATGCACGCGATGGCCGGCACGGTGTGTCGCCCCCGGCAGCGGCGCCTGGTGACGATTTGGTGGTGGGTCGGGGCAGATTGCCCCATAGCGATGGGAGGAGACGAGTTGCCTCTTTCACATTGATTACGAATTCATAGTTACTTCTTGTATATATTTTGAGATCACTTATTTTCGTGCAAGTCGTAGTTTTTACTCCTTTGTTTTATGTTGACAATAAAACTTAAGTAGTTTTGGATTTTTTTGTAGTTCTTTAATCCTATTGCAACATATTTTACGTTTTTTTTTGGTTATTTCTGAGTAAATGTGGATTACATCCAACCTTTACTCGTCTTTCATTAGAGTGCGACCTCCTTTTGCGTGGAATTTTGCAGTTCTTTTTTTTTTATTATTATTCTAGAGTTAGGGGTTTGGAGTTGAGATTGCTTATTTTCTTGTTGATGAGCTTTGCAACTGTTGGAATAACGAGTGAATTCAGGTCTAGAGGCGTGTTGAGTGATTTGAAGATCCTGGATGAAGCATTTTTCACCTTTGAGGCGTAGTGTGTGATATAAGCCATTCTTTGCTTTTCTGTCTTCTTGCTTTCAATTGACTCTTGTCTCCTTACAAGCGTGATTGCTTTCATGTTGGGCAATACAGTTAGGAAAAGCTATTTTCAAGCTAGCAGCTCTGGTGTGGGTTCTGTCTCTAATGATATTGCTCAGCCTGAATTTGCTGGGAGGTCTCATTGCATTCAAGCATCTTCATTAGAACTTGGTACATTCTAATTCTTGTGCTTCAAGTTAATGGCCCTTGCATGAACTAATGGAATAGATAAACGAATCCTGTAGATATTTTTGATATGATTTATTTGTGAATTATATCAGAAGTGTGATTTAATAGTATATTTGTAATTTGCAAAAGAAAAATAAAGAGGAACATCATTTTTATGAATGATTAACATAGTTTAAGATTTTGAATTAAATAATCCATAAAATTCAGTAGAAAATAAAAAGTAATGATGAAGTCTGTATCTGAATACAAAAAATGTGGTAAATGTTTTTTCATAGGACAGGGTATTTTAAAACTAGTTTCATTAATTTGTTGTCTAAAGAAAGCTGAGGTGTCATAATGTGATGTATGTTCGTTTTATTTTTCTTGCTTAAGATAATTTAAAATTATTGATGTGATATTTTTTTTTCATGTCATATTAGTTTCAAATCCATATCCCTTATTTTTCACACTCATGTCGTTTGCAGTAACTCAAATTTAAAGCTCAAGTCCTCTCAGGCTGCATATGTATCAAGTCAAGTAATCCATTTTCATTACTTATTTAACAGCAGGTGTTTGAACCATCTAGCTATATTTCTTGAGAAGCAAAAATAATCCTACATGCATTGTTCAAAAATAAATTTACATCATTGAATCTCTGTAAGCTTTCTGATTTATGTTGTGGTTTTAAATTTACTTCTGTAAACATTTAAATTAAAAGAAACAAGAAGAAGAAAAAGGTAGGCCTATTTATAGAGACACTCTGACTGTTTCAAATGTTTTAGAATAACACTCATAATTTCATGAATTTATGGCTTTTATTTGTAAGATCTATCAAAGTAAGGGATATGAAAGATTCAATCCCTTGTAGAATACGACTTTTTAAAAACCTAAATTCAGCTAGTTGGACCAAGCCAAGGATTCGAATGGAACGAGAGACCGATTCCGGGTTATAGGCGGGTGTAAATTGGTCACGGAGCGTGTACCTAGGCGGGTATAAAGTTAAGATATGGATCGATAAGGGTTGTTTTCCTGGGGTCTTCTGTTGCGGATATTGTAATCGAAGAAGATATTTTATATCGGAGGGTATCTTAAAGGGTCCAAACTTCTAACGCGGTATCTAATCTAGGCGGGTACCATGGATTTGATGGATTATTGACCGTCGATCTGCCAGCCAGGGTTTTGGGAGTCCGTAAGCAAGGAGTGCGGCCAGTTTAACTTGCTTGCCTGCTTATGCTTCCCGTCTATGGTACCGTCAAGGGTTTTGCGAAGCTATTTGCAGGTCGTTGGGGTTTTCATTTTGCACTAGAGAAATTGGTCTGCTCGACAGGAACAATGTCTTCCATACGAAAAGCGAGTAAGGCTGCGGCGGGCGGGCGAGCTCACAAGGAGCGGTCGCAGCCGGGCCACCGAGCCCGTTATGGATTGCTGGAGAAGCATAAGGACTATGTGCTGCGTGCCAAGGATTTTCACAAGAAGGAGCAGCACATCCGGAAGTTGAAGGAGAAAGCAGCGAGCCGCAATCCCGATGAGTTCTACTTTAAGATGGTCCACTCCAAGACGGTGAACGGCATTCACAGGGATGAATCGGGCGGAAAAGTGTACACGCAAGAGGAGCTGAAGTTGCTGAGGACTCAAGACGTCGGGCACCTAATTAGCAGGGCGCAGAGTGAGCTGAAGAAGGTGGAGAGATTGCGATCTTCACATCTTCCTATAACCGCTAATGATAACAAGCATGTTTATTATGTGGAGGATGGTGATGAAGTCGAGGGTGTTCGGGAGAGAGCGGAGAATCGGCCGGCGGAGCCTTTTCAT